TGTAATTGTTTTTGGAGGGTTTTTTTGTTTAACAGGTTTAGTACACAGAAATTACAGGTTTATGAGTAGTAAAACTACACTATAAGTTAGGGTGAAATAAAGCCTGTATAAAACATCTGTTGGATAAATGATAATCTTAGAAAAAAATTGTAATTTCGTGTATAAGGCAACACTTGAACTGTGTTTAAATGAAACCACCATAATGCTACATAAATGGAACAACATAATCATGCCTTAAAGGTTCATTAAAGTCATTAAATATCTTTATAATGTGCTTTGTTCAATGTGGCATTTTTAGGCAGTTTGTCAATTTGTCTTTTTCCACATCTTCCTACACACTGACCCCATTACATCTTGAAGTTTGGGCTACACGCAGTAACTTTGTACAGTTTTCAGGAAATTTGATTTAACTTTGAATGCTAATGTTAGTGGTCAGATTTTCAAGAAGCATTTGCATTGGCAGCAACACACGGGTGCCCTTGTTACGTTAATTGAATACACTCAGACTATTTTAAATTGGAAAAAACCATAGACTGTATATATAAAACCCATTCTGAGTAAAATATGACGGCTTTGCCTGTGCAGCACTGCTTCAACTTCTCCACACAAGAGAAAAAAGCTTGCAAACTTACGCGTACTGGCGGTAGTATCGGCCATTGATGGACAGAAACTAACCGGAGGGCTGCTGCTGATGTTTTGGACAGCCGGCCGTTGTCGCTATGGTGGTCAAACTAAACCAAACTAAAAGGAGGGACTTTCTGCAAACATACACGTATTTCCTGATTCCCAAAGAGTGCATATACGCCATATACGCATATACGCATATACGCCCTAATCTTAAAGTGGTACTCCCCAACTCCATCTATCAAAGAGTAATACACAGGCAGCGGGAACGAGAGGGTTCACTCATGCTACTTCCCTCTTGGTTTGTTGTTCATAAAAAAGGCGGTTTCAGCATTAATGTTAGAGAATAGATTCGCTCAAGTACTACATTGGTTTTTGGTACACACTTTTATACTGTGATAGAGCATACAAAATAACAAAAATACAATAAATTATGATGTATTATAATGCGTTGACGTAAAGATGTATTTCCCACAAATGCAAAGGCTTTATTGTCATATGCACATACAGTGTAGAAATGGCAAATCTTCAGTCCCAATCTCCTCTAATATTGCAACATAGTTATAGAGCATAAAACAATAAAACAAGTGCATGTGCAATTAATGCAGATTGCAGTAAACTATATATAAAAATAAAGAAATACAATAAGCTAAATACTGCACAGAATGTTGTAAGCGACCAAGTAAATACAGGAGTCTATGTAAATAGACTAAGGATATACAAGAACGAAATGTAAAATAAAATGTTCTACAGTTAAATAAAACATTTAAGTAAATACTGCAATAAACAATAGCTGCAATTAAAGTAATATTCAAACGAGCTCAACATTGAGTACAAGTCATATACCATATCATTTGGGCATTATGTTGTATTCAATTGAGTAAAATTAATGTAAGTGTTTTTGCATAATTCTCTAGATTAAGGCGCCATCTACAGTATGCAGAGCACCTGTTTCACAGTTGTTTAAAATGTCATTTCATAATTGTAAGCTAGTGCAGAGAGAGATGATTCCTACAGTATGCTTTTCTTAAGATGCAAAGCTCTAATTCAGTTTTCTGAAACAGGATGTGAAATCTTCATATAGGCGTTATTCAGCCAAGCATATGTACATTGAAATATGTTGCCTCAATTTAAGAGACTTTCTTCTTTGGGAACTGCACTGTAAAACCCCTTAGGCAAAGGTGACATTTGTGATCTTGGGATATTAAGATTAGTGATTAAAGAACCTCTGTTTAAGATAGTCCAAACAACATCAGCAAGGAAGGTCTGTGAAGCAAAAAAACTAACAAGACATGTTCATGTGGTCAACTTTTAAAAAATAAATCAATATAAGATGCTGGAAATATCTGTTGACAATGAGTGGTGTTAAAAAAAGCACTGTCAGCAGGATTATGTGCAAAAAAAAGGTTTTAATTTACAAAAATATGTATGGAAAAAGGCAAAAGGTTCAAAAAATAAGCTGAGAAAGACCCTGCTGCCTGTAAAATAGTTTTCCCATTACTTCCAAAATTGGCAGAGACCTCCGTGACGTCACTCAAAGTTTAGAGTTAGCTGATGACACTAACCTGCGTCTTCTTCACTATATTAATAGCAGATGATCTGATACCAAAGAAAGGTTTAGCCTGTTTAGCTAATCTTGTGAAGCACAAATAAAACTAATAAGAATACAAATAAATCAATAACTAATGTAATTTTTAAGTTACATTTATTATTAGCATTTTCAAGTTTTATTGCACCATATATTCCAAATGTTTTCCCTCCTACGAAGTAAATGTTATGCAATGCTGCCTTCTACTGGACACACTCATGCTTACATTTGGATCTGCACGCCTACTTGCAGTATGAATTATATTACATTTAATTTAGGTGATGCTTTTTTTTAAAGTGACATACAATAAGAACAATAAACCATTAAGATACAAACTTAAACTGCAAGAATCATGCAGGTGTATTCTCTTAAAGTAAGCCACACCATTGTTGGTGCATGCGCATTAGCTTTAAATAGGCTTAACTTTGTAAGTACTATAGGTGGGGTAGGTCATTTTTAGGTAAAGTTACATACCTCACCTTTAAACCTAACAGAAAGACATATTCTATAGTATAGAATATGTCTTTCTGTTTAATAGCCAAGTTGCGGGGAAAAACAGGTGGGTTATAAATATGAATGTATGCATTATTTAACATGCAAATGTTCAAGATGTGAAAAAAAGTGTTGACATTAAATGATTTCACACGTCAAATGTGAAGTTCACATACACATGGATTGGGTTTCACAAACACGTGACTTACATTTAATGGTATGATTTATTTGTATTATTGCCTTTGTAGCCTGTCTAATACTTTAAATTAGGTACATTTAGAGTGGTTAACATGATTGTGGTTAACATGTTTGTAACAAGAAGTGGACTCAAGCACATGCTGGCACCTGGTGCAAAACACCAGACACACAGAGGTCAGCAAATGAAAAGCTGCAAATCAAAATGAACAGGACACACAGATGAAAACCCACATCAACATAATCATGATTCAAACATCAGAAAATCTGCCGAGCATGATATTATTTTTGTTTGCACTTAAATTGATTCCTTCTCAACAAAGGGTTAATTTTGTATTATACATTGGTAATATATCATTCACAGTATACACTCTAGTCAGACCTGTACTAGTGAATAAACTTGCAGATATATGCAGCTGTAAAAACCCAGTGGTTAAGTCTCCCTGCAACTTCCAGTAAATAAACTCAGAGCAGCAAAATACACGTCACCAAATAGCAGAAAGACCAAATAACCAGTTAAATCGGAAGAAAGTACATTTGGAGAAGGGCGTAAAGAAACGTCTTAATGTGGGGCTCACGTGGCACTACGAAGGGACGGATAGAGTTCTGCATGCTTAAAAATATGTATGTTATTTTGAATAATTTTCCAACTCAGTCAGTAGGCAAATAAACCAGTTTTAATTTGACTGCTTTACTTACCGTGCAGGGATACATGATAATATAACATGTAATTACGTTATAAATGATGATGTATGTATCTTAGTGGATTAAGCCACCTGGCTGTACATAGCGATTACCTGCAACATATGTGATGCTTACGCAGATATATGCATCAATAATTACAAACCAATAACATAGGCATAATATATTATTCCCAAATGGACCATTCTGCAGGATGAGGACTCTTCCTACCACTACATTAGTTTAATGCAAAGATATATAATGAATGTATGCAGTGTTTATTCTACTGTTATCATGATCAAATATTGATTGACAAAATAATCTCAACCAAGATAAGAAGATGCATTCATGCTGATATTGATATAGTTTTATAGTGATAGTTAGGTGTGTATTTTTTGTTTTATGTGCTTTGGGACACAGTAAATATGCTCCCATGAAATACTAGTGCGTTATTGTTATTACTCCCTTGCATGTGCCCTATATCTTCACTGTTTACAGCCTCTCACCAACCACACCGCCAGCCTCGTGCCTTTTGAGAGGGCATGCAGAGCAAACGACGTCACCATCCAGGAGCACGTTGAAATGTGCATGCCGAGGCTTTGCCGCAGCCGTAAAGACGAGGCAAGCGCTCAGCAGGAATATTCCCCTCGTGGATCTGTGCATGTGAGACACAACCCAGACTGAAAGCTTAGTTTATTCTGAATAAGATTGTAAATTCACGTTTCCAAGATCAATAATACACGTACAATGATGATGATGATGATTATTATTATTATCATCATCAATTGTATCTGCAATTTATTTAAAAATGAAATCTAAAAACGTAATATACCTCCATTTATGACATATAAACGATATAAACATGTATAACACACTTCACATATTGTATTCCAATTCTATTTCAATGTAAATACTGCTAAATTAACATTTATTTTAATTATAATGTTATTATAGTTGTCTTAAAATAGTTTTCTATCTGTGTTTTTACTTTTTTTGTGACTTTATACCAAATCAAATTCCTCCTAGGCCTATGTGTCAACCTACCGGGTAATAAACCTCTTTCTGAATAATTAAACGCTACTCTTATCATAGTAACTACAGTATACTACAGTATAACAACATCAGGTGTCTCTACATGGAATTACACTACGATAGTACCCGTATATTACAGTCAACCAAGTAGGCCACATGTGTGGAGAGGGATCCGCCCTCTCATGTCTGTTTGGAACTAAACTCTGCAACGTGATCCCAGAGCCCCGTGCTACAAGCCACGCCCCTATCAGCCAATCAGAACGCGCAGGGGCGGGTCTGGGCGGGGACATAAACTCAATCTGTCCAATCACGGTGGCGATTCAATATTACTCGCTAGACCTTCCACTGACACGTGTGTCCCTGCGTGTAAACTACTGTAGGGGGGTCGAGCAAAAATGTTTAGAGCATATGCAGACCAGTGAGCAGAGGCGGTCGGTGCTACAAGGAGTGCTGCGGCTTCTTATTGACTTTCACACACCTTACCCTGGAATATCAAAGCTGGTGTGGTTTTGAAACATATCTACGGTAAGCTGGTCGTTGTAATATTGATGTCTGTCACTCTTGCCTTCAAGCTAACGTTAGCTTTCTAGCTGTCACTTCGCACTGCCAGCGTATTCACGACATACATGTTTTCCCTTAATTTGACGGCTTCATTAAGTAGATAGAACAATAGATACATGTGTATTTATGAGGTGATTAAGCTATTCAGACAATCTACTGAGAAAGCTGTCTTTAACCCTTTACTGTCGCTGACACGATAGCATCACGTTTATTACGTTATCTCTTTAAGGTAGAAGAAGACAACACCACTAATGACAAAGCCGGCAAATATCAGATTCCTCCACATTTTATGACCTTTTTATTCTTTGACATTTATCGTGTTGACACGCATGTGCAAATTGCAAAAATATATTTACTTATCAGTATCAGGGCTGCTAAATGCCTCCTACTGTGCAGCATGTGCGTGTATGCTTGCAAACGATAACGTTAGACATGTTGTGTTGATGCACATCATGCATTTGCATTAGTGAGAATGCACATGGGGCGTATACAGTTCTGCAAGAGGGCTGCATGGATGCTCTGTGTGTCGACAAATGTGCTGCTGTAAATGCACCATAATGATCGGTCATTGCATAGTTATTGACACCAAAAGCACACGATGGACGTCTGCAAGGGTATCTGCAGGTCCTTGCAGATATCTCACAATATAATGTCCAAGTGCGCAACGCAGCTTCACAGCAACATCCAACAAGTTTGCATGTGCCAGGTATTGTGTAGTGAACAGAAGATAACCAAGACAGGTGAAGTAACCTTTCTTCACTTAATGTTTAAACTAAGCTTCAAATATAGATGATTCAGCGTGTGCAAAGACCAAGAACATGACACTTTTCCCACCAACAAGTATTATTGTGCATTGATGGCAGGTAGTGGCACAGGTGGTGCAATCTGCATGTTAACTATATGATCACATGTTTGATAAGGACTGACTCATGATTTGAAACAGCTTACAGTTTTCCATCACCGTGATACTTTAATATGGGAATGACTCACCAGCAGTACCTTGTTTGGACTTTGATGGTTGTCACTTGCAACACAATTGTTGTTTGAACATTGTTTGTCCTGTTTTTGACCATAAACTAAGACACTTTGTTTTTATACTATAAATGTGACCAAATTGCCTTTTTAAGACGGTGGAAAAGAAAACTCTTAAGACTACAAAGGACAGAGAGTGATGGAGATTAGTTAGGTAGCAGTGGGAGACCAATGATACTAATGCAAAGTGAGTACTGTGGATTGAACTTGATATCATATTTTCATGTGAAATCTTTAAATTAGTGTACATTCCTGTTCATAGTAATGTCATTAATATATTGTAATGTTTAACTAAGAAGTCATGGCCATGAGGTCCTCTAACTGATCCTGAATCAGTTGAGTATCCTTCTATCCTTCCATATTACAATATTAAAACTGGAGGCTTAGCTGAGACCTGGCAGCCAGCTAATAAGCAGCCCAGCCTCTGCGGGGCTCTCTCTCTGATTGGTCCGGATAATAAAATATATCAACCAATCAGAAGCCGCCAATGCTTGCGGAGAGCACCGCCGCGGACACGTGCAGAATGTACACAGAGAGCTGCGCTGGCAGAGTGATGATATTCACTGGAAATTGCAATGTGAATGTATTCCCCGAATAGTAAGAAGGAAATAAAAACGATTTTCTTAATGTTTTTGAATAATGTCGTGATGATGTGAGGGGCGGGGGGAGATCACACATGTTCTCGCAAGGAGCTACGCCACACCTTCCTGCAGCCCTCGATGCAGTGAGGATGTGAAGGTTTCATTATCTACGAGAACAGGTCATGTGACTCCTTGTTCTGTACAAAGTTGTATCTTTATTATATCGCTTGTAATCATATGATGGGCTTGTGAATGAATGACAGGCTCATGCAAAGAACACTGTCTTTGATGAAGTGAGAGTTTCTTTGTGTGTTCTGATAAAGAATGCCCCTTGATAAAAATGAATGGATATATGTTAGAACCTTTCTATAAATAAGGAACATATAACATGATCATTATAAAACATTACAGATATTCAAATTAAAAAAGGTATTCTCACAGTTGAGAAACGTGAAGAGAGGCCTGTTGAAAGTCTTTTGCTCTAACGGTTGACCTAACCCTTCTTCAACATTTGTATAAGACTGATGATGCATTTGCTTTCCCACACAAAAATAGACACATCCTGATATAATCATAGATTGGTCTTACAATCGGGTGGCATTAAGCCTCAGTGTTTCGCATTATTACCTCACACTGTCGTGGTTTCAAACCTGACCTAACTGTTTCCTGCATGTCAGCGGGGGGGTTTTCATGGCCACCCCGTGTTTCTGTGGTTCTTTTCTCCATGTGCTTTGGATTCTTCCCTGCTTAGCAAGACATGCATGTTGGGTACACTGGAAGCAAAATCGATGTGTCTTGCTCGATTGAATTTGAGGATGCACCCTATAACCAAATAGCCCACTACAGCTAACATAGCAAGTGTACAGCTGCATGTGAGCAGCCTGTACACTGTTCCCCACCAACACCTCCACTACCACCTCTACCCACCTCCACCACCTCTACCCACCACCGTGTGCTTCTTCCATCACCTGTCGAGGTGCGAGTTGATGCCAGCCTGCATCGACGCCTACTCACGCCCTGCTTGCATATTTCACGATCATTATTCCTCCTTCCCTCGCCAATTTCAGCCATAGCTCACTTTGTCACGTGTATCAACCAAACATATGCTAATTTGAATGTAGCATCATATGAATTTGTCAAACTGAATACTTGCAGTTGTTTACCATTATCCACTCCAAGTTGTTACGTTTGCTTTGGTTATGTCCATGTAATGAGTCATATTTGTCATTAGCGGTGTGCACCTGTTATCCTCTGTTCAGATGTAATGAGCAATCTCCGGCTGGTGGGGGGTCACTGTCCACTCAGCCATGTTGTGTTAGTGAATGAGAACAGGAAGCGTTGAATCAGTGCAGGCAGGGACATAATTAAACAAGTCCTGATCCAATTCTGCACTTAAAACATCACTGCACACCTAAAGGAGCCTGTGGGGAAGATAGGTGGAGACATTTGTAAGGATTGAGGACAGGGCCTGCGTGTTCTTCCGGCTTAAAGGATTACGGGGCGTATTCTTTGCACTAGGAATAAACAGCAATCATTTTAAACTTGTATAGGTAGTGGCCTGATGTTAACTTTTAAATTACTATTCATAATTACACTGTATTATTGTAATAACCCTTGTATACTAAGCTTTGTCCCCCCCCCCCCCCCCCACCTGGTGTTCTGTTGTGACTGTCCTCTGGGTGAAATTGGATTAAGCTTTGGCGATTAACAAATGTCATTTCGTCATTAGCACTTGTACACCAGTGCTAAATTCAGATGCATACGCACTTGCTGCATGCTAATGGGGATTATTGTCATTTTGTGTTTAAAATGGGGTGGTGTTTTTATTCGAGATAATCTGAGTGAAAAATGCTAACAGCTGGGGCTCTGTGCGGCAACAACAACCACAAACACTTTTTCATTCAATTCATTTTCAATTCATTTTCCAAACCAAGGCTGTGACAGCAGCACATGGCCACCTTTGAAGCTTTGAGGCCAACAAGATAAACTCATCATAAGCGCTCCATTGTGTCTCTTCATAGCTGTAGGACTTGAACATTACAAACATTTTGTCATCATGCAGCTAATGACTAATTATTTTCTCTTTTCTTCTATGTCCTTTCTCCACAATCTCAGATGACCTTCATCTGAAGCATCACATCTCTGAAGAGGCAAGAAGACGAGATACAGAGTGTTCTCAGCTCTCACCAAGAGCTGTTCTCCCACTCTCCCTCACAATCTCTCATCCCATCTGTTGGAGCCCAGTTGCCAATGCTGTTTCGTAAACAGAAATTCATCTCTTATCTGCATCACTTGAGTGACCTTTCAAGATAATTGCACAGTTTTGGAAGGGCAGCTTTCGCTTTTTGGTCATTTGCTAAATGATTACAACCATTTGAACATCTGCACTTTTTAAAAACTTTAAAGGGAGGGCCCAAGCTCTCTGATTTACCGTTTGTTTTGCACCAAAAACAATGAGTTTCTCTGTTAACGACAAGCCAATAAGTTAGTTATTGCTGTTTTCCCCTTGGCTGACACCTTCAAAAAAGCTGCTCCAGCCTCATCCTACTCTAGTATGAGTTATGACAACTCTAACTCATTGCCCCGCAGCAGCCCTAGAGGGCGAGTGGCAAGGGCCGACGAGAAAGAAAATGAACAGGAAGCAGAATCAGAAGGGTTAACCTCTCTGAAAACGAGCAGCGTTAAGCCCAGCGCTAATGGCTCCTCTCAGGAGCACGGGAGTGGAAATAGAGGCGGCTCATCTCCCAGTGTGGGGTCGGCGTCTGGAGGCTCGTCCCGAGACCGTAGGGGACCCAACTCAGATGATATGGACGGACACTCCAGCGGAAACGACTCTGGGGAGAGGGAGAGCGAAGGCGGGATGGAGAGAGACGGCGCGTCGCGCGGGCGCCAGTCCGTACGCAGCTCCCACAGCTCGTCCAATGGAAAGGACTCTGGCATGATGCTGGAAAACACTGAGAGCAACAAGAGGTAAGAGAAAGAGAAGCTAAGTGACAAAAATAACATTTGAAAAGATTTCCATAGCAACAGTCTTTATGCCAAAAGGCTCTTTGCATCACTTGCTAACACATGCTAATTACACATCTGATCCAGAATGTCAAATTCACCGTAATCATCTCTGTCTCTTCTTCCCCAGCACCAACTCCCAGAGCCTCTCTCCTCCCAGCAGCTCCCTGGCCTACAGCCTGCTGTCCACCAGCTCTGAGCACGACCCCCCCTCCACCTCGGGCTGCAGCAGCAACCAGTCGGCGAGGGTGCAGACCCAGAAGGATCTGATGAAGGCCATCAAGGAGCTGAAGCTCCGCCTACCAACGGAGCGCAAGGCCAAGGGTCACACCAGCACCCTAAATGCACTCAAATACGCACTGCAGTGTGTCAAACAAGTCCGAGGTGAGGGGGGTCTTTTTGTTTGTAGCTTCTTAAAAATGCAAATGTGACAATTTTGTGGCGATCAACGTTTTTAAGTCTTTTTTGAATAACTCTTGAAGCTATAATGTTTTAGTTTCTGCCATTTGCATTAGGCTTACTACAATATAAAACAAATTCTTTACCTATATACCCATCCTGAGTAATGTATTGTGATTTGTTTACAGCCAACAAGGAGTACTATCACCAGTGGAGCGTAGAGGAGTGTCAGGGCTGCAGTCTGGACCTGTCGGCCTTCACTATTGAGGAGCTTGACAACATCACATCAGAGTACACGCTCAAAAACACAGTACGTTCATATCAAATACTCCAGCACTCAAGAAGTTTATCTAATAAAAAGTATTTGTTTAAAGTGATTTTATTCTAAGCTTTCCTCCTACAATTTTCCTTTCAGGACACTTTCACCATGGGCGTGTCATTCCTGTCAGGGAAGGTGGTGTACGTATCGCCTCAGGGCTCTTCCCTGTTGCGCACTATGCCCGAACGTCTCCAGGGGGCGATGTTCTCTGAACTTTTGGCCCCGCAGGACGTCAGCACTTTCTACAGCGGTACAGCACCCTGCCGTCTACCAAACTGGGCCTCTTGCATCGGGTCAGGTGAGCGGAAAAAAAGATCACCTTTTGGAAAAAGGGATATGAAAATAGTTTTGATTCCAGACAGAAATGATGCTCAATGTCTGAACTCTCTTTCCTCTCAGCTTCTGCTCCAGTGGACTGCACTCAGGAGAAGTCCATGTTCTGCCGGATAAGTGCCGACCGGACGCATGGCGGCGAGATGCGCTACTACCCGTTCCGCCTCACGCCGTACCAGCTCACCATCAGAGACTCAGACGACTCTGAGCCACAGCCCTGCTGCCTGCTCATCGCCGAGAGGGTCCACTCCGGATACGAAGGTATTTGTCATTTTACTACAGCTACTCTCTACTATAACTAAAGTCACAACGTATTTGAAGCTTAAAACTGATTCTTCTTGCAGCTCTCCACATGATGATGACCATTACTCACTATGTAATTTAAAACTAGTTAAACTGAATCTTGAAATGATCTGTGTGTGGGAGAGAAGAGAACAATAGCAGACACCTTGAAAACCATTCTCCTCTGAATATGGATTATATCATAGACACCAAATGATTGGGTCTAAATAGCAGTTAAAGCTTTTTATTATATGTATAGTCTTATGTACTTATTTCTCATCTGTTATATCTTCTTCCTCTGTTCCTCTCAGCTCCTCGTATCCCTCCAGACAAGAGGATCTTCACTACAAGTCACACTCCGAGCTGCATCTTCCAGGAAATTGACGAGAGGTCAGTTATTCAACATTTCTATGGCTATTACTTTCGTAAAAGAAACAATTTAAAATCTTTTATTCATCACTTTCCATCTGTGAATATTGAATTGTAAGCTGATCTGTTAATCTAGGATGTCATCAAACATTGTATTAACAGTGTGTAAATACATTTTTTGTTTGCAGGGCAGTGCCATTGTTAGGATACCTGCCTCAGGACTTGGTGGGAACCCCCATCCTGCTCTACATTCACCCTGAAGACAGGCACATCATGGTGGCTATACATGAGAAGAGTGAGTTTATTTAGCACTGCACATACTGTAACTTCTGCTCACATTAGTCATACACTTATATGACTGAGTTAGGGTTCTAAATCTTCAAGTCGTTGCGGCTTCCAGAAATGATCAGTTTTGGTATTTTATCCTCATATATGTCTGCACTTTTGTCTCTTCAGTCCTTCAGTTTGCAGGGCAGCCGTTTGACTATTCGCCTTTGAGGATGTGTACCCGAAACGGGGAATATGTGACCATCGACACCAGCTGGTCGTCCTTTGTCAACCCCTGGAGCCGGAAGGTGGCATTCATCGTAGGGCGCCACAAAGTCAGAACGTAAGATCAATAATTCACTCAATTACAAAACGAAACTTCCAAGAGCCTTCAATATTAAAAGTATTAACAAAGCAAAGTGAATGAAAGGAAATATGGTTGATTGTGACATTCATAGAGATTAAGAATCTTATAATAGACTGTTTGTTAAAAGACCAAAGCTCAACCCCTGCCATCTAGCAACATCTACACTCAGGTGTCTTCCTAGTGTGCTAAGATGTTCTCTTTCCCCGTCTCCAGGAGCCCTCTGAATGAAGACATGTTCACGGCACCTCAGGGCTGTGAGACTTGGACCACCACCCCCGACGTGGTGCAGCTGAGCGAGCAGATCCACCGGCTCCTGGTGCAGCCGGTGCACAGCGGCAGCTCCCAGGGCTACAGCTCGCTGGGCTCCAGTGGCTCCCGAGGCTCCCGGCGCTCCCACCAGCAGCGCCTCAGCGCCGCCTCGTCCAGCGACAGCAACGGCCCCGCCATCGACAAAGCTGCCGTCGCTCTGCGCAAACCTGTGAGTCTGAGCAGCTAGGGCTTCTAGATGTAGCTACATTTTTGTCTCAGAGTGAATTCAATAAAATGTTAGATGAATGTCCGTCTAACGTGTTTGGTGCCGTTGTTTTTCTAGATGACTTTCCAGCAGATCTGTAAAGATGTCCACATGGTCAAGACTAACGGACAGCAGGTTTTCATCGAGTCTCGTCACAGGCCACTACCCAGGAAAACCAGCAGCACAGGTAAATTAAAAGCACCGTTACACAGTATAGGGTTGGAACTCAAAAAAGGGACAATAATCAAACTGTGGCTTTTCGTTGATGGGGTTCCAAGTAATATTCCTCACATGTAACGTCAAAAAGACTCCATTGAAATGCTTCCTGTTCCTCTCTTTTCTCCGTCCAGGCGCAACAAGCATCAGAGCAATCGGCAGCGACCCAATCAGAGGCTTGATCGCCGACATGACGATACCCCCCAAAGCTTTGCTCCCTGCTCCTCTCGTGCCAAAGGAGCCTCCTACTGGCTACTCCTACCAGCAGATCAACTGTCTGGACAGCATCATAAGGTGTGTGTGCAAGCACGAAGCCATTCTGTATCTATCTTAGCATTTCTTTAGGGGTTATGACTTCACTAATCCAACATCTCTCTTACTCTACGCAGGTACTTGGACGGCTGTAACATTCCTAACACGGTCAAAAGGAAGTGTGGCTCTTCCTCCTACACGTCTGACGAGGACAAGCAGCAAGATGGCGCCTACAACACAGGTCTTTTTCTTTTGCCTCATTATGTTGGTGTGTCGTTTGGTGTTTTAACTTAAATACTCTGATCCACTTATTTAAGTTCATTTCCTTTTGGTCAGTGTGTATTTACCAACAAAATTACCTATGGAACATCTTTTTGTTGTTGAATATGGATTTTCGTTTTGTCTTGTGAACCGCCTCCTTGATTAAGATGAAGCATGCTCTGTTGGTGTGTCTTGTCTGTGCTTTTGTGGACGATACACGATCACTTACAGCAACTTGTTGGACTTGTTTTCCTCAGCAGGTGGTTCAGTTAACCTTGTAAGTGAACCACCTCCTCTGCCTCCCCTGACCATGGCCACAAAGGCAGAGAGTGTAGCCTCAGTCACGTCGCAGTGTAGCTTCAGCAGCACCATCGTGCATGTGGGAGACAAGAAGCCTCCTGAGTCAGGTGGGAATCCTCAACACTCACACTCTCTGAACCTGGTCACTCAGCAGCTTGTTTCTTTCATATAACGATACGGAGTCGTTGCATGCCTTGAATTTCCTTTAATAGCCTTCAATATGATTTAGCTTTTCATTTGAGATCCTTTCTTTTCATTATTATTTTTGCCTTCCTTTCTTGTTTTGCAAAGACATTGACCAGAAAGTGTTAAGTACGATGTTGCAGAAACCTGTAGTCGCATGGTTAAAACTGCAGATTTTGCAGATTTTTGCCTTTGTTTCTCCTTTTGGTTAATTTCTCTTCATTTCCTGTTTGTCGTCTCTTCTGCCGTTTGCTTTTTTTCTTTTGTTTTACAGTTTCTGCTATCTTTTTTTCTTTGCAAAGTGACCATATAGCCATTTAACACACTACTGCATATCTACTACTGTCTTTAACTTAAGTTTGCTAACATTAGCCATCATAAGCTAATGGTCGTACCAGACCAAGTATGGCTGTATCAACTAAATCCACCATTGTATTTGATGTATTTAACTTTTCATTTGTCAGAAGATGTTGTTTTTTCAGAAGTCACATCGCCTCACTTGACTGTTAACACCCCTCATCGTTTTTCCCATGATCACAGACGTCATCATGGAGGAGGCACCCACTACTCTCACTCCTGCTCCGTCTACATCAACAGCGACGCCTCTCACAGCCATCGCCTTTCCTCCTCTCCCTCCCCCTCAAGCCTCTCAGCTAGAGAGGTACAAACGGAGAAGTGGCAGTTTAGGAGGAGGGGGCCGTATGGGGCTCACAAAGGAGGTGCTATCCGCCCACACCCAGCAGGAGGAGCAGGTGTTCCTCGACCGCTTCAAGGACCTCAGCAAGCTGCGTGTTTTCGATCAGACGGCTTCGTCCACTCTGCACTGTCAGAACCCGGCTGCCAACCCTCTGTCGCGAGGTACTAACACTAACCCTCTGTCATGTGTTTATTACACATTCATTGTTAATTTAGTTCAAATTGCTAACATTGAGCGTCTTCTTCTCTCTCCCAGGAGTGCGTTGTTCCCGGGATTACCCCGCCGCCGCCGGCAGCAGCACCAGCCACCGGCGAGGTCGAGGCGGGAAGAGACTGAAGCACCAGGAGTCGTCTGAGCAGCACAGCTCTCTGCGCCTCAGTGGGAGGCGCCATGACCCCCGAACCAGCACCGCTCTCATGCCTCTCACCATGCCCCTCACCATGCCTCTCACCATGCCTCTCAACATGCCCATCGGACCCCCGACAAACTCCTCCTCCTGGCCATCTGTCGTCTCCCAGGCCAGCATTCCCGCCGCGCCATTCGCTCCTGGAATGCTTCCGATCTACCCCGTCTACCCACCAATGGCACAAACCTTACCCGTTCCAGATCCATCCCGTTTCCCCCCCGCCCAGATGGTTCCTCCCATGGTGGCCCTCGTTCTGCCCAACTACATGTTCCCCCAGATGGGAACCCCCATCTCTCAGCCGGCCCCCAACCCCGGACACTTCTTCAACCCGAACTTCACATACCCCACCCAAGTCGTCCCCACCATTATTTCCAACCCAGTGCCAATCCCAGTCACCTGCGCCCCGTCCCGCAGCAGCACCCCCCAGTCCTACAGCCAGGTCCCCCCAGAGTCCCCCCTCTTCCAGTCCAGATGCTCCTCGCCTCTCAACCTGTTGCAGCTGGAGGAAACAACGAGCAACCGGCTGGAGGTCGCCACGGCGCTGGCAGCATCACAGCAAGCCCCGCCCTCTGTTCAGGGGGCAACGACCGGTCAGAGCTCAGCCAATCAGAGGAGCTCTGATGAAACTTCCAAGGAGAATGAGAATGTAAGGACACTATAGGCTTTAGAAACCTTTGCATATGATATCATTTAAATTGTTTCTTGGAATATTTTTTCTAACCTTTTCTTCCCCATTAGGGTGAGGCTAATGAGTCCAACAACGATGCCATGTCCATCTCCAGCGACCTGCTGGACATGCTGCCGCAGGAAGACGCTCGCTCAGGCTCTGGCTCAGGGTCCTCCGGCTCAGGCTCTGGTTCCGGCTCCAACGGCTGCAGCTCTTTTGGCACCAGTGGCATGAGTGAGTAATCTTAATTTACCATCTCAGAGGTTACCAAAATAGATGTAAAAAGTTTCAGAATGCATGGTTTAAAGCATGTACTGCAAACGAAAATCATTTTGTTGACTAGTGTACTCTTTTTTTTCTCCATTCAGGCAGCAGCCAGGGCAGCCACACCAGCAAGTACTTTGGTAGCATCGACTCATCAGAGAACGATCATTCCCGCAAGCAGCCAGCAGGGGGCAGCAGCAGTGTGGGTGGAGAGGAGCAGTTCATCAAGTGTGTCCTGCAGGACCCCATCTGGCTCCTGATGGCCAACACCGACGACAAGGTCATGATGAACTATCAGCTGCCTGTCAGGTATGACGCTGGGCAAAATGTGCCCAAACTCAACAGATTATTCACAGTTTAACACCTGCTGATTTAATACACTGACTTATATTGACTATTTTTCTTTGTTCCCGTTCAACAGAGACATCGAGACTGTGCTGCGAGAAGACCGCGAGGCGTTGAGGAACATGCAGAAACAGCAGCCACGCTTCAGCGAGGACCAGAAGAGGGAGCTGAGCCAGGTTCACCCCTGGATCCGCACAGGACGCCTGCCCCGAGCCATCAACATCTCTGTAAGCACACAACCCTGTGCTATACAGTAGTGTTTGGATACAACACCATGTAGAAATGATTGGTAACAATGTCTTTCTGTCTTTCTTTTAGGGCTGTACAGGCTGCAAGTCCCCCCCTTCTGAGCGTCCCACGGCTCCGTTCGATGTTGTGATTCACGAGATGGAGATGTGCAGCGCGCTAAAAGCTCAAGGAGATGGTGCCGGCAAGGGCATTACAGTTCCTTCAGAGGCAGCCATGGATGAAGCTCACCCAGAGGAAGAGGAAGAAGACAAAAGAACCAAAACGCAAGCCAGAAACCAGGAAACGACAGCCGAGGCGCCGAGAGCGGCCTCAGAAGCTGTGAAAGAAAGGTCTCAAATGACTTACTGAGGAGGTGGCCAAAGATGATGAACCCTATCAAGACGTTTCCGCGCCGATGTGCAGAAGACATGCACCTTCCCGAACTTCCTGTGCCCAAATAAAAAAATCACTACTATACTATACCGATCGAGACAACTTCCGTCATTGCTGGACAGGACACTAGTTCATTCTTCATGAAGATGACAGCACAACACGCACGTCGTAAGACTGTATATTACAATGCCTTGGGAACCACAGGACATGAGCACTTTCCTTGATCTTGACATATTTATTTAAGCTGTAAAATAGTCAGAAAGGACTAAAGATGAATGTGTATCAAAAAGGCGCCTTTACGTATAGATGGATGTGCAATGCTCTCGACGGAAAAGAAGGGAGCTCTGAGACTTTTCTTCTTGTTGAATGTTTTACAGGTGGTCTGGAATCCTAATCCTCAAAGAGTTCATTTTGTATAGAGCGACAACCAGTGTATTTTGTAAACAATCTGTATATTTTTATACTATCTGCCACTGCGAATTGTGATAGGATAAATGTCTTAAAGAGTGTGTCCTGTTCAGTCTTTAAACAGAGGTGGTGACACTTGTTGCTTTCCTCGAGGGATGTAAAGTGAATGTGTGGGACAGCGTGGCAATCGCCAGGAGACTGACTTGGACTTTAAGGTCTCTCCTCGGCCGGGCATTAGTATGTGCATTGGGGTGACATCCCCATAGTGAGAAATGGACAATATCTCTCTGAGAAATGATGACAGTATTTCCTAAAAGGAGCTCTGAATCCTGCAAAGGGAGAGTTCCTGTGTAGCAAGCGCTTGCACACGGTGGTAAGAAGAGGTGGACGACGTTTCTCTCTAAAAAGTCTCGAGAGATTGGAATGTTAACTATGTGTTTTCCTCTCTGTCCCTATCGCTCTCTCCGTGACACTGTTCTGGTCATGTGATATCCTTTTTGCTTCAGTCAGTGGTGTCTAGAGAGTTTCTAAATATTTTTGTGAAATTCTTTGTACGAAAAAAGACAATAAAACGACTGGAAAATCCTTTAAAATGTGAAGATTTGTATTTATTTTTTTACTGCAGTTTTAGTTTTATGATTACATCTCTTTGCAGTCTATTTTAGTCGTTGGGTGTTTTGTTGCCGTTGGCCTGGATATGTCCTGAATGAACTGGAAGCAGAGAGCGGATCATTGCTGCTGCTTTCCTCTGCGAACCACAGTCTCCCTCTATTCAGCTGTGGTTTCTACCCAGAGTGGTCACCGCAGCTTAAAAAAGACATGCCCTGGATATTCACTTCAGCATTATGACAATGACAGAAATGATTGTGATGTACGTGGGTCATTTTGTGAGAGAGCTGATGTTAATAAACAAGCTCACTTAAAGTCTAAAATAAAACAACTTCCAACAAAATACAACACACAGTAGGATTCAGAAAATGTCTTTCATGTTTACTATACAAGCCAACTGCACTGAATTTCCACTACTGTGAAAGGAATATAATCAACATAATAACCCTCAATTGCAGAGTAAATGGTGTTTATTTCCCAAGGTAGCTTTCAAAAAGCAGTATTTTAATTGGCTTCAAATTAACTCCCAATGTGCTGGCAATGGTTTTCCGCATCTAATAGGTAACACAAAGCAGCTCAGACTCATAGGAATGTCTTTGGTTTTATCACTAAGTATCTGCATCACAGACAAATTCAGTTTAATTAACGAATCCAAGTGTTTACAGGGGGCAACAACTACCATGTAAGCTAGCAATAACAATTCTAAATAGAGAGAAAAACACACAAGACAGTCGGCCACTGACAGGATGTGACACGTAAGCACACTTGTAATGATCTCCTGACATTTTCTAAGGGGGGGGGGGGCATGAATGTAACAAATGGCATGGCAAAACTAGAAATGCTAACCTCATTGTGGTGGCACTTGAGGAAAATTGAGAGGAACTCCAAAGTCTAGCTGTATTCAAACAGGAAGCAACAAAAATGTCACTTCACATCATTTTCTGTGATTGACAATTTGTTACAATCTGTGGTTTGGGTTAGAGTTATTTACAGCTTTTTCTTACAACTTTAACCCTTTCATGGTGGGATTCAGTTTTAGTCCATTCAAAATGTTCTTACCAAAAAATAATAATTAGAACCATGAGCGCTCCATTATAAGCTGTACCCTCTTTTGTTGTTTATGTTTGCAAAAAACAAGATGGCGATGGTGAAAAACCAATATGGCGGGTGCCATCATTGTACAAAACTAATAAGTGACATCACTGTGACTATGTCCACTTCTTACACACAGTCTACATCAGAAACGTCTTGTATTGCGTTGTGTTTTAACACTGTAGGATTAATCTCAGGACCATGAACGTTCAAGATCTTGCCAATCCATAGGCCTACTTGAGTATATATATATATAATATACAGTATATTTCATAGGATAAGAGGAAATTCTGACGCTAGAGGCAAGGTCAGGGGACCCACAATCTCATTAAGATTCATCCTCTGGGGACCATGAATATCTGAGCACATTTTTACGACAAACCATCCAGTGGTTTTTGTGATATATCTGTATGGACCCAAGTGGTGGACCAACCAGCCAACCAACCAGCCAACCAACCAGCCAACCAACCAGCCAGCCAACCAACCAACCAACCAGCCAACCAACCAGCCAACCAACCAACCAACCAGCAACCAACCACCAACCAACCAACCAACCAACCACCAACCAACCAACCAACCAACCAACCAACCAACCAACCAACCAACCAACCAACCAGCCAACCAGCCAACCAACCAACCAACCAGCCAACCAACCAGCCAACCAACCAGCCAACCAACCAGCCAACCAACCAGTCAACCAACCAACCAACCAGCCAGCCAACCAACCAACCAACCAACCAACCAACCAACCAACCAACCAACCAACCAACCAACCAACCAACCAACCAACTCACAGACTGACAGACTGACATGCAGATGCTTGTGAATAGGTGCAGTGAATACTTAAACACACACACACTAAACAGTGGTACTCTGTCCATCAGCACACACCTGCAGAAACATACTCCCCATATATTCCACTTCCCAGTTAAACAACAACACAGAGCTGGAGCATAACAAGCCCACTGTACTCTGAACTGTACATAGTATACGTTGCTTTTGGCCATGGGTTAGTGTAATTAATGTTGTCCTTGTTAACCTGTATCAAACAGCCTTCTGTCCTTTCCAAAAACACATGTATTCCCCCTTTCCTTTCTTCTCCTTCCTTCCATAACACACCTCCTCCTCCTCACCCATCGCTCCTCTCCTCCCTCCTCCTTTTCAACCTTGCTTCTCTCCACGCCCCTACTCTGATTTTGCCTCCTTCCTCTTTTTCTCCTCTCTTGCTTTCCCTAACCTCTGAGGACAGCAGGATGGAGGACAGGGTGTGGATTGTGTGCCTTCTTGTCATTCTGACGCTGGGATGGACTGAGGCTCAAAGTCAGGACAACTTCACCAGGTACGCTGAGAGATTTTACACTTAATGTCTCAAGGTATGTGTGTCAACTCTACGGCTATCAATGTCCTTCTTGTGCATTGGTTCCCTTGCCCTCATCCTGCTTGTGCACATGTGGCATGCCATTTTAAGCCCACATCTGTCTAGATTAACTACTGTGTATGTTTTCCTCTCCTGGTAGCAGTATTATGATTACCGAAAGCACAGTAGTAATGTAAGGTTGCAGTGTTTGGAAGATGTGGCTGGCGTCACATAAACACGCATGCTTAATTGATGTAGTAATTAAACCGGTAGTTTGTCATCATGTTTTTGTCAAACCTGGAAATATATTCTGACTGAATATTTTTTTAGAGATGCTTGTTGAACCTTGTGTTTGCACTGCTATGGCTTCTTCCACACACGGCGTGTAAATTGAACATGAGATAAACAAATGCCTGTGGGTTGTTCAGCTCCAGATGGTCCAGAAGGGAGGGACTCCACGGCTACTGTTTTTTTTTTTCTGGCCAAATTTGGCTTTAGACAAACAAAGTAGACAAACAACTTATGCCTGACAAACATGACAGAACCGAAGATGGACTACAAATCATATTGATTGTTCCCGCAATGTCAAAGATGATTCATTTTGCTGCCAAGAAAAAAGCACAGTACAACCAAAATTGAGCTACAGAGTTGAGTTTGATGTTAAAACGCAGCAGAGAAAAACTGACAAGAAGCCAGAAAAGCAAACATCTAGATTAACGAGCCTGCTGCCAAATTAAAGGTTGAGGCCTTCCCCTCTTTCATCTGTGTTTATCAAAGTGTGTGTTAGCTACTCCCGTGAGTGGGCAACTTTCTTGTGGTACAGCAAGTGTGTAGAGAAAGCTCACAGCACATATACTATATATTGACAGTCTTCCTGGCTTGGTTTTAAGAAGAAAACACAAACTAGGAGAGTTAATTTGGAACCTCCCCAGACTCTGAGAACAGAGGCGGACTGTGCCCCTGTGGTTTTCAGCGTGTATGTAAAAGTATGTATGTGTGTGTGTGTGTGTGTGTGTGTGTGTGTGTGTGTGTGTGTGTGTGTGTGTGTGTGTGTGTGTGTGTGTGTGTGTGTGTGTGTGTGTGTGTGTGTGTGTGTGTGTGTGTGTGTGTGTGTGTGTGTGTGTGTATGTTTTCTACATCAATACCGTTTTTTCCTTTCAATGCAGCGTGTCAAGTTAAATGCAGTTGATGGTGGTTGTGTGATACTTTTTAGGCCCGTCTTCCACTGCGGAGGCCACCTGGTCACAGACTCTGGCATCGTGGCCAGTGAAGGATTCCCCAGTGCATACAAACCCAACAGCAAATGCACCTGGTACATTACTGTGAGTCATTTCAAATCACTACACCAGTACATTAACCAAAACACTCACAACAGTTCGGCCAATATCATCATATGACCAGTTTGAGTCAGATTATGTATTGATGTAATGTGTTGTTGGTAGCACGTACAAAAGCTGATGAACAAAAGTACTGTATACATATTAATAGAATATGCAAGATGAAGCAAAACACCCGACAAATCGTTTCTAACAACAACAAAAAATAGTTTTAAAACAAAGTACTTATCATGGGAAGAAAGTATTGGATCGCTAAAATTGTGTAATTTGTTCACCGTGGCTAGCTTTGTTGGACATGCCACGGTGAATGAATAACACTTTCATCATCTTACTCGTGCATGAGGTTTGTCGTACATTCATAAAGTCAGCAAACTAACTCATTAATGTTAGCTACACAAGCAGCAGCTAAGTAACACAGCAACTATGTCAAATGTTTGCTAACATTAGCCACCATTAGCTGCTGGTCATAGCAAGCAAGACTGTAGCAAGAAAAGATTATTGAACTAACCATAGACAAATTGTTTGGCTTATAAACTCAATGTTTCACTTGTAAAATATTAAATGTTTATTTTTGTCTTTTGGACATTACAGTGCCTCCAGCGATAAATGGCAAGTGACACTTCTTCTAGGCTGCACTCAGTTTCAGTTTTGGATTATTCCATTTGTTCTAAATGAACATACAGGATGTGGACAGGGACTAAATATTAAATGTATGTTTAGTTCTATTTGATTTAAATCCCTTTCCCAGCTTTATAGTTAGAAGAATAAGCTTAACAAACAAACACACAAAGGGCAAGGCCAACAGCAAACTGCCAAACTCTGTCAAACTACATTTCATCTCGGGCCACATTAGCATCATGGTTGCACTCAAAGGGCCAGTTTTATATATAAGACTATATAAAAAAATACATATACTGTATACATTTTTAATATATATAAAATAATGTATTATATTACATTATTGCCTCTGCATCGGATTATTATCGGATAGGGTAATAACTTCATAATTAACTACGTCTGAAAGCAGAAGTCTAGGGCAAGTCTCTTCAGTGAGAATGTCACAAAATGATTTAAAAAGAAAAGCCAAATTCTGGAAAAAAAATTAAATTTTGAAAAAGAGTAACATTTTGAAAAAAAAGGCAGATTCTGAGAAAAAAATAATATTTTGAAGAAAAAAAGTCAAATTTGGAGATGCATTGTGGGA